ACTGTAGAAACGACACGCGATCCACGCCAAACTACTAAGCCTTGGGCGAAACTTTAAGAACTTCCAAGTTTAGATAATTCTGGAACCTTCGACATGTGAATACAGTGCTGCAGCTGCACTAGATGCTATCACTCAAATGAGCCCGTGTAATTGATACCTGTGGGGTTGGTGTAATCAAGCAGTATAAAACGGAAACCGTAATGGTAGGGGTATCAGACTGAGGCCTTTCCAGATTTTAGCCCTTTTATACTGACGTCGCTTTGTGACGTCCCTTAGTTTCAACAGGATCGCTTCACGCTATACAGCGAAGAACGCCATATTCAAAAAAATAGTAAGCACATGGGATGATACCTGAGTGACGCGTTGCACTAAGCAGTCATCAGCATAAATGCCCTTGTGATCGCATTTCAGACGTTGAAACCGGTTATCTTTTATAACCTTTAAAGCGATTTTGAACCGGCGTCCGGCTTTTTCCAGTTCACCCATGACGCAATCCGTTATGTAGGGAATCGCTAAAAAGGCGAACGTTATCGTCATGACGCAAAATGGCAAAAGAGGGGATTAGAAAAAAAACTAACTGTGCGCATAGAGACAATCTCGAAAGCCTTGAATCACGTCAAGTCTATTCTTCACCGCAAAGTTAACAAAGTTCGTGTCGACAAGCACGTGAAATGGAGGGCCCAGTTGATTGTTGAACTTGAGGAACATGGCTGATGAAATCTTTGGGCTGAAATTGCAACATAGAAATCAGCTTCTTTACTAAATAAAACGACTGAAAACTTACGCCTCCTTAATTTTCAGTTCTTGTGGATCCTCTTTCTTCTTGCGAATGATCCTGTTTTCTTCTTTTCTGGAAGGTATAACACTTGAAGATTGGGCTCAAATGTCCAACTTCTACTACTCGCTTGTTCGCTTCTACTACTTTATTGATCAAGAATTCGACCTAAGTTGACTATAGTATTCATAACTTACCCCCACCCAGGATAGAAGGATTGGCAGAGAACCCGTTAAACTGTGAATCTTACTTAGCATGGGCGAAAACACTGGTAAGTTTCGCGCTTATATTCCTTGTGGGGGGGCAACACATGTAAGCACTTGTCAGCATTCCAAGTCCTATAAACAGTCCACAACACCGGATAACCTTGTCAACAACCTCTAGGCCTTGCTATCACCCTCTCACTCCTGTTGAAGGCGTATGGCACGATAATTTGGCGCACGGTCTAAAATGCTAGCAGGGAGCTATAGAGCGGGAAAATGGCGAAAAAACGAAGTGAAACGGTCAAAAACCTGCGAAGAAAAGCCTCCGTTCTTAATGAATCGAAAAGCAGTTCGAATGACGAGCCACGATTTGGAAAAAAATGGAGAAGTGACATTCAAATGAATAATCTCTGAATGAATCTAGTAATATTTCGCTGACACCATCTCCCCCCTCCTGAAAAGTTATTAGGCGCTATCACTTTCGATTCGTTAGAAATGTAGCTAAGCGAGCGCTGACGTATCGCAGATACGTGATCCGGTACGTTGCTGTTCACGGCTGCATTGTTCGCGTAGGCCACACAGCAGCGTGAAAAGATATAAATTAATATAAAATGACGTCATCTGCGCCATATAATGCATGAATGACGTCATCGCCATGGTTCATGGAAGCTACCTACGTTGACGTGCTACTTGACATGATATACCACCAGAGATGACCCGTCATTTTCGTGCCGGTGCTAACGTATTTGGGGAGGGGGGACCAGCGCGGCTCGGCTCGGCAAAAGTAGAAGTATTTTGTGTTTAGGAGCAGTGGATATAAACTGACCTAGCTATAATTAATACAGTAACGCTGAATACGTCCCGAAGAAACAGTGTGGCTGGAAGATTTTTGAATCAAAAACTACAAAATTTGCTTGCTGGTTTGTTTGCTTGACTTGTTATTGCTTGAGTTACAAAGGAGCAAACATTGTGTTTCGGCTTCGCGTGGATTTCACAGCAGGTGAAACTTGGTTGTTTTAATTCTAAACCTTTTCATAATTTGATGGATAGAATCGGCACCGCGCGTATGGCTATAAGAATAGATTGCGACCGGCGCGTGGTCCACGTCGCCCTGCCCCGAATACGTTAGCACCGTCATTTCTTTGCTTCTAACGACCGGCCTGTTCTGCACCTGAGCCAGAAATGACTGCTGAGGTCCGCCCACCTAGTGGATCGGGGAATCCGTGAAAAGATAGGTACAAATCGATTTCGCCCCTTCCAAATTAGAATGAAGTAGACGGACACATCACATGCTAGCTTTATTTATCAGCCTCCGATTCTTTATCTCACCAATAACGCCGGTTGCGAACGCGGCATTACCCTACGTTGTCTCGGAAAGAGCGGTCAACCCAAAGAAAGCGAAACAAACATTTCGTCCGATTCAGTTCTGCGAAAAGTCATGAAATGAATTCTGAATAAAGGTGAGACTCACATCCTGTTGTCGGTCATCTTCATATGTTGATTTTTCTCGCACATTTTCGGCTTTTTCGACGAGCGTCCGCATGTTGATCTGTGAATAAACTGTAGAATAAGTGGTTGGGAGAGATGGAGCGACACGCAAGCTTTTGTACTAAACCTTCGTCTCGATCAAAATGAAGAAAAAAAACAAAATAAAAACGTTGAAACAGCTGCACCGCGAGCGAACAAAACAGGCGTGTAGTGAAATGTGTACGATGAGCTACGGACTAAGCATTGAGTCTACCGCCTTAACTCTTTTTTAAAAACTCTGAACCTGCTTATGCTTAGTATTTGTGTGTTTTATTCAGTATGAGGTGACCAGTTCCCGAGTGTTGCTCCTACCTGAACATGACTTCGGGGCACTCTCTTTCAGAAAAAGTCCTGTGTAACCTTTCCTGTCACGTCTGCACCCACCAGTAATGTTCCCATCCTGCCCCCTATTAACCTTTTGGGACCAACGTCCCGTCGTCGCTGTGGCCCGCGCTAAGTAGTTGGTGACCCTTCCCTACTGAGGCTCCTTGTAGTATCTTATCAGCTGTTATCACGGCCTGTCACCCACAAATAATTCCCATCCTGCCTTCTGGCCTTCGACACCACTTTATAGGTCTTTCCTTGTTCGCGTAGTCTGGACTAAGGCGCTGTGGTCCTCATAAGTGGCAGTTCTGACGCCTCTTCAGTTGCCCCGCCCAGCAGAACTTAAAGGCTATTTTCTGTTGCGAGTACATCGTGTTTTACGTTCTTCTTTCACTGTTAGTACGCGTTCAAGACTTACGCTGACTGCAGGCGGCTTTCGATCGCGGCGATTCAACGATCGAGCAGCATGCTTGTCGAGACCGCCAACGATCACGTCGAAGCGCGGACCGGAAGCCATCGCGAAGTCTGAACGCTGCCCGTTAGATGGCATGCATTGGCTATATGCCGAACGAAACGAGTAGTAAGCCGCAAGGCGGCAGATATCGCTTTGCTGGCATGAAACTAGCAGGTGTGAAGAATTCGTACAGTGAGGCTGCTTATGGTCTTCTCCACGATTTTTTTCTCTCTCTCTTGTAGAGTCATTTAGCGATAGTAGCTGTCTAAAAGAACGCCACCATCCACAATATGCATTTCCTAGGTTTCTCTTTACTTAAACTTTGGTGGCAAACTCGTCTCAGCAGTTACTCGTGCCCGGCGTTGCAAGCGGCTCGGTGTGGCGCGGCGCCAACACGTATTCCGCCAATCGCAGTCGCTTGCTGCTTCCGCAGCTGGTGAACAACGAGATGGCGTTGCCCCACCCCCTGACGTGCACCCGCGTACGCAGAACAGGACTGTATATTAGGCGTAGAGACAATGTTGAAGCTTACATTAGGACGAGAAATCTGACCCGTTGGCAATTTACGAGATTTCCGTTCGTAATGTGTAGCATTTTGTTCAGTGCCATTGATCTAGAAAGGCTGTGTTGCAGATGTCGTCAAGACGTGAGCAGGTGTGCTGCTGCCACCGATGTGGAAGGTATCTGCTTCGAAAAAACATGTATGGCCATCTCAGGTCTGTGCATCACTGTACCGAAGAAGAAGTTCAATCTGTGATGAAAAAGGTCAAAATACTAGCCAACGCGAAGAGAGACGATTCGACCATTCTTTGCCCCCTTTGCAAGGTCCCATTCAGGGACCATGAAGAGCTCGCTATCCATTGTGGAGCTATTCATGGCCAGGATGGGGCAAACGGCAAAGAACAGGATTACACACTTCACAAACTGAAGTTCATTTCGAAAGAAGAGTTCGAGGTAATTAGTTCACCTTTACATTTACTTCTTTTTCCTCTCGTCTAGTTTAAAGGCACGGTCCCGATCAAATATAGAAGTCGAAAGTATGGCGTCGCGAGGGCAGTGTGGTCCGCGTCGAATAACCTTGTATGGGTTCGCGGCAAAAAATTGTAAGGGAGGGGCGTTATAGCGTAATATAGGTTCAGAGACTCTCCTTTTTTCCAGTGACTCCGCCTCCAGACTCCGCCTTCGAGGCCCGCCTTTCAGTGAAAACCGAAGCTGCAGGACGTAAAACCATGGAAATCGCCATTGGTACGGTCGTAGAGTATTCATGGGGAATCAGCTGTGCGGATGAGGTTAGTATTGGAGACGGAGTTGATCGGGCACATACAAATCGGAATTGAAACGGTGCTCTTTCTAGGCAGTTAGCCTAGATAGAGCACCGCGCTCACCTCAGTGGGTCCTGATGTTTGCCATGTACAAGGTGAATGGGTCCGTAGCTGTGGCAGCGCGCCAACAGCGTTGGAGGATAGCGATACCCAAGTTCCGCCTCCTGACCCCGCCTAGGTGCCGCACCGCCAACCGCACAACTACCCAACCATAGCCAAACGCGCTACCAGTCTGCGCCCTATCACTTTTGATTGTTCTCTACCGCTGAGTGCGTGTTTGCTGTGTAACTTTGGTATAGAATCAAGTGCTGTACCTTGAGAATGGCGCAGGCGAGGTATGGAAACGTCACTGATGTACCACTATCCAACAGCGCCGTTCCTGTGCACTTTTGAGTGAAAGAGGGGCACATTACTGCAGCTGCTGGCCTTCATCTCCCATAGGGCATGTAGCGTCCGCGGAGGTGAAAGTACCGTTAGCTCCATATTCAACGAATTTTAGAGATGATTAGTGTGGTTTTGCAGGCGTGGTTTGATGAAGAATCCGAAAGAACCGTCTCGTCTTTGTACACAAAGTCTAACGCAGGCAATATCGTCTATTACAGGTAGGCGTTTATCTCATCCGACACGACTAGAAGTATGATAATGGGCCTAATGTAGTCAAGCAGTGCCACTCGGCAGCGTCCCTGCGTCGCTTCCCTTAACCAATGCTAAAGGCAGTCCTTCCTTGCACGAGTAGCCCGTCCCTCAGCCCCTAAGACCCTTTCGGGCTTCACTAGAAGTAACGAAGCCGCGGCCCTCGTAAGTGGCAGTTCTGACGCCTCCCTGGTTGCCCGTCCACCAAAAGTGGAAGGCTATTTTCTGTCACGGGTTCAGTTTTTACACCGTGTTTTGCGTTTTTTTTTCACTTTTGGGTGGGGTACAGGGCAAGAGAATCGTAATTTGGCGCGCTGGCCGGCATAGCGAGTGGCGCCATGCCGCGAGAGACGAGTTTTCCCGCCTAGCCACTTCGAATTCGAATATGAAAGGGAAGGGAGAGGGTGTTACTGAAGCGCGATAGCCGTAAGCGATTCTGACTGAGACCGATGTTTC